GCGGCCATCGACAAAGACGGCAAAGCATCCGCCAAAGGAGAAAGCGATAGCGGCAAAGCATCCGCTACAACGACGCCGGCGATATCAAGTGTAGCAGGACAAACCATTGCGGTGGAACATAGGCACACACAGGCACAACTAGGAACTTCACCAGGAGCCGGTTGCACGGTAGGAACCACGGACGTCGACGATGACACTGGGAGCAAGCAAGTAGCCGTTAGTGATTCTTCAATGACGCCTTCAGGAAGCGGGGACGCCCAAGGCCACCACCGTGGACACCATCGTCCCTGGCCTTAGAGGCAACTAAGGCGAGGCTTACACCCAGAATCCGACATTGTCAGTGCAGAGGTATGGATTCATCAATGACGCCTCCAAGGAGGTAAGTGGTGCCCCAGGTGTCACCGTCGTCCGCCCGGCCGTGCAGACGCAGAACTCCATGGTGGTGCAGACGCAGATGCCTGCACGCACTCTAGCCACGACAACACATCCCGCTGCCGACCATCCGTCGGAGAGAAGGCGACAACGCCCGTGCAGACGCCAGAACTGGCCGCCGTAGGGGTAGGTTGACCAGGATCCGGCCCGCCAGGACCCAGACAGGCCACCGCTCCCGGCCGGTGGAGGCCGTGCACCATGGCCACTGGCAGGAGGAGGCTTGACCCACCATAGCTTTCCCCGGGCATGGTAGCCGACACAGGCCGCGGGCCACCACTACAGCGAGCAAGGAGGCTAGGGGTAGCCGCCCTAGCCCGTGGGCCAGCCAGATCTGGCCACCGCCCACCGCTGCACCAGTCCTCGCCCCTCGTAGCCGGCCGTCGACCACCGCCTCGTAGCGGGCCAGGGGGTACGGGGCTGGCCGCCCCCAGGCCATGGGCCTGCCATAACCGGCCGCAGACAGGCGCCACCCCAGCCCTAGCCACCAAGGAGCGGTACGGGAGCAGCAGCAGAAGGCACCCTAGCCGGCCAGATCTGTTTGTTGGCGACCACTTCCTAGGCCCCTACCGCCCAACCTGCGCCATCACAGATCTGACCAGGAGGAGGTCAGATCCGGCCCTAAGGAGTCCGGATCCGGGCCGCCGGTCGGTGAGCCCGCCGGAGAACCACCGGGGAAAAGGCATGGTGGTGGAGGAGTGGGAGGGAAAGAGAGAGGTGGGGGGCTGCGGTGGGCACCTTTTTTTGGGCCACCGCGGGCCATCGCCGCCACACGCCGGAGGGCGGCGACGGCGGCCGGAGGGGAAGGCCGGGAGGGGCGGCCTAGGGGCGCCGCGGCGGTCGCCCCCGAGTCGCCCTTGGGGAGCGCTCGGGGGAAGAAGTTTTCATCGTCTAGCCACCGTGCTTGGGCCTCAGAAGTCAGAACTGCCGCTCTTGCTGCTGCATGCATTGGACTAGCCGCTAGCATGCAGCCGCCAGTGTAGTCATAGACTGGTAGGACTGCCTTTCTCATTCCAACAGCGGCAGACCCAGCCTTTTTTTTAGATAATGACACTCAGGTGTCTCTAATCTGAAATATATCAAGAAAAACAAAGACTAATATAGAAGATGGATAATAAAACACAGAACGACCTCTAAAAAATAAGAGTACGTACATCAAAAATTTAATCAGTCATCTTCTTTCTTCGATCATTCGCTGCTTGGGAGAGCTTGAAAATCGCACTGAATAGACTGTAAAGAAAAAGAACACCTACCAGCATCCTTACTAAACATGGCTTTGAAGACCGCAAAAGCCACTCACTGCAAACAACGAGATCTAAACGTGCCCACTGAAAGAATATTGGATGGAGGAACCCTCCAAAGAACATCGGATGAGGATAGACGAATAACAAAAGAAATTCATATTAGGAACGTACCACATCCATATGCACGAGGATAATTGATTTTGGACATCCGGTCAACGATTTCACCCTTCCCGATCCTGCTCCGTGCTGGTGTAGTTTTGCTAGAGCAGACGAAAGGGCATCGATTTGGCTTTCCGTCCGTCGGCATCTATTATTGAAAATCACTCAGAGATCACTCAACAAGATAAACAAGCATTAGAGATTACTCTACGGGTTTCCCAAAGAAGATCCATGCTACATTCTCATATCAGATCATTATCAACTCCCTTTCAAATGATGGATTACCTAGATTATTTATATTAGCAACATCCCTTCTAGTTTGGTGTGAAAACTGAGCATATATTAAGAAGGGCCATGCTCAATTCTATACTATCTCTTGTGTTGCTTCCGTGTTGTGGGATATAGGCTGGCTGAAAAGAATTTTGATTGACTCTCATTTAACCCCTTTGATAGGGCGAAAAGAATTTTGATTGGCTAAAAGATGGGTTTTATTAAGTCAACCACCCCTATAATTGGACTTTATGGGTAGTTTTGATAAGACAATGATTTCCAGAGGTGTAAAAATGAACTAAAGTTAATATTTTGAAGCTGAAAGGGGCTACGGCACCATCACAGCTATCACGGGGTTTTCTTTTCTTTTTCTTTTCTTTTTTTTTTTTGCACAAGTGCATCCCGACCTCTCATCTCGCATGCGGCTATCCTACAACTACACAATGCATTCCCGCAAGTTGTATCAAGGCTTGAGAAAGCTGTATAAAAAATTATTTTCCCTTCTGCACTGGGTACCTCCTTTTTTTTTAGACCTATCTTACATATGCTCACTTGAGTTTTCAATGTTTCCATCACTCCATCCGTTACAAAACCTTTTCCCTTCTGGAAAACATTACAAATCCTTATTGCAGTTCTGTAAACACGAGTTCCTTGTTTTGGCAGAGTGAGGCATGGAAGGTCTGCAGCAGAAAAATCAAACCAGTCTTTCTTTCTCATCCTGATGATAGCCACCCTGTATTGTATGTGGTGTGCCAGTCAGATATACTTGCGGCAACCCCGTCAACCTGGTATAGGCGAAGAAGCTGATCTCGGAGTGATAATATTTCTTGCCATTTATCTTTTTCTCCCGCATGGCTTGTGCGTCCTTTCCATGAATCAAAAGGATTATACAGATGCACTGAATGAACTGGCACTTCAATAATTTGGGTTGCTATTGTGCATTTTTCTTCCAATCTGTGCAGAATATCTGTTTACTAACAGTCTGGTTTCTGCATTATGTTGTAATTAGATTTAATTACTACCTGGATGATTGCTAGTGCACCTATGTATAGCCCTGTATTTCTGGAAACATATATTGTTATGGAATAAAGTTATACGGATGACATTGATTTCTGTTGAGAAAGAATTTCATCTTTTTCATTGGTCGCATGGAGGTGGATCATATGATTGGTATTCAAGGTACCCAAGACCATATTTTTCATTTGGTACTAGTTGGTATATGCTGTAACGTGATGATGTCTGCCAAGCTAATTATCGCGCGTTGTGCACTTACAGGTGTTTCCTTTTGTAGTAAGTTGAAAGAGAGCATATTCACTTGGATCATCGTAGTGAATTCAAGTGCTGCATTAAACTCGTTATCATTATCTGGATCATTGTCTTTCTAAGAGGTATCATGCTTGACTCTTTTTATTGGTTTTCCTCTGCTCTAGTTATACTTCTCTGTATACTGTGATAGAAAAAGTGCTGAAATATCCAAGCCTGTGTTATAATAGAAGTCTGGATTGTAGTACTGGCCCTGATCGGCGGTGCTACAAAGCGCTGCAGCTGCAGCTGCTGCTGGACAGGTGCCAAGGTGCTATGGCAGCGAGCCCAAGGGCAGCGCACAGCCACAGCAGCCAGCCCAGCAGCATAAACGACAGTCATTCAGGCTGACTGTCCCTAGATTTGGTCTTTAACTATCTCTGGTTATAGTCGTGAAGTAATTCTATTGGTTTGTCTTAAAAGTTTTCTCATGTAAATTTCTCACCACTCAATGTCTCAAATGGTTTTTGTTCACTTAGTGCACAAAAATGTTTAAGCATGGTCATGTAAACATCAAGGGGTTTAAGGATTACGCATAGTAGTTATGCAAGGGATTCGACAGTGCTAATGTTGTTGCACTTTGCATCATCTCTCATGGTGATCTCAAGAGCTTTCTCAAGCCTTGATACAACTTGCTCCATGGAGACCTCAAGAGCTTTCTCAAGCCTTGACACAATCCTAAAACTGTATAAAAAATATAATGATAAATGATCTCAAATAGAAGTATTTTAAACTACAAAAATTTAGATATTGTCGAGCACTACAATTTTGATATAGAAAGTGTCTCAATCCAAGGTCATTTCAAAAATTCAAAATTTTGAATTTCAAAATCGAATAACTTAATCTAATATATCTGGAATCCCAAAGGAACTCAAATAAAAACGTTGTCAACTAAAGTTTTAGATCATCTAACTCTACCAATTTTATATAATTTTTGTCTTTATCTAACTTCATTTAGAAAAAGCATGAATTTATTTGTTTGGCAGCTATTTTCTAAGGCGGTTGACTGAGATTGACTAGGTCAACTGTCCCCGGAAATCCACTTGGAATCACCTATTTTTTGGATAGTAGTTTTAAGAGAACCTCCCTTGAAAATGGAAGTACCTCTAGGGTTGGTTTTTTATGAGAACTTGAGAAGTGTCCTGAAATGAATTTTTACTAGCGGTTCATTAGGTACGGTGCTCCATTCTTAGTTAGAGGCAGTTTTTCTAGGTGCAGAGTCATTGGAAAAAAAATCGCAAACGGCATAAAATGTGTTTGTGTAGTAGTGAGTTTTTATTCCTGCCTTTGAATAAATATATGTATGCACTTATAACTGTTCATATTATTACAAATTTTAAATGGTGAGAACGCCAGCAGATGGAATACAATTGGTTAATTGTATATACGAGGTGGACACACAAGTGCACGCAACGCGAATACACGATCACAACGGCACATGTATGTAGCATGCATAAGATGGGCAAGCCACACGTCTCAAGTCGTTGACATGCACGCACGGGCGCACGGCAGATAGGAAGAGGTGGTCGAAGGTGAAGCACAAGTGCACAACAACACATTGTTCAATTACAGAGATTCATTCAAACGACCTCTTTCTCATGTCGCGCTGGTAGAGACGAAGCCCTCGCCGGAACCAGCAGCGTCCTTGTCCTCCCTCAGCATCGTGGTGGAAGCCAAGAACGTCGCTGACGACGAGAAGACGCCCTGGACGACGTCGTAGGTGGCGCCGCAGCGGCGGGTGGGCGGGGTGGGCATGCACTCCCGCAGGCAGCTGTAGGGGTTGTCGGAGCAGTAGCAGCCCTTGGCGCACTCGCCGAAGCACTCCCGCCGGTACGCCGCGGCGCGGTCCATCACCCGGAGGAAGTCGTGCACCTTGTCGTCCTCGTAGCTGCCCGACAGAGGCGGCTCCGCGCCGGAGGACGGCGGTGCCAGCAGCAGCGCGCACATCACGGCGGCGAGGACCAGCTCGAGGGTGGTGGAGGAACCGTGCGACGAAGCCATGCCGGTCGTCCAACACCTAGCTGCTATAGCTTATCTTGACAGTACTTAGGAGTACTTGGCAGTTGAGATGGATTGATGATGGGCTAGGTCATATTTATAGAGGACGACAGAGGGATGCATGATGATCACTCTCGCTGTGCATGCAACAGCTCCTTTAATTGTTTTTTAATGAAAATGACAGGTTAAAGACGCATGATTCTTTGTGTCCGCCATGATCCACATTCCAGACTGTCCTCCGTTATTTTGTGCTGGGATGTCCGGCGCTTGTTGAAGCGTGCGAATGAAGCTCCCTCTAGGCTCTAGCCTCTAGCTACCTCACTACATATCACTCACTTTTTCATTTGCTTAGCTAGTTCCATATAAGTATCTACCTCATTACATCACTACTACTAGGAAGTTAAATATAAGACAGTCACCACGCTATAATTAATTAGCGTACGTGTGCTTAAGAATCGGATTTTCTCCTGCATGTTATTCTAGATTCAGATGTTTAACGTTGTATTAAAGTAAATGATCAGGTTGGTCAATTTTTTTTAAAAAAAACAAGATCAGCTTGGACCATACTTTCAAACAAAACAAAGATCTATGGTAAGGTGATTCTTTATCTCTAATACTATTTAATATAGTGGTGGACATGTTAGCTACCGTAGTTGCTAGAGACAACGAGAATGGAACCGTCTCCTAGCCTTTTTGTTACCCAGGCCTACCAATGCATACGGAAAACTCTTTAGCAAAGACTTGAAAGTTATTGGAGAAAGGATAGAATAAAAGTTGGCAAGTTGCTAAGCAATATTAATTTCTCTCTTTATGTGGTCGTTTGGGGCTGATTAAATCTAGGATGTCAAATTTAGTTATGTTTACGCTAATGCTCCACCACGGGCGTCCGTACCGCGTCGGTCAGTTCTAATGCGGCTAGCTGAGCTGCAGACCGGCCCACAGGCCTGCTCCCCTCATTGGCATACACAGTTTCTCAAAAAATTAAAAAAAAAAGGAAAGAGAGAGACATCTTATCCGCACCGCACCGCACCTGCCCTATGGTCACGTATGCACGAGCTCTACTAGCACTCGCGTCTGCACGAGCGCCGCCGCCGTCCACATACGCACTAGCGTCGAGCGCCGCCGCTAGCCACATACGCACGAGCTCCACCAGCCGCGCTGCGCCACCCGCCCATGGTGAGGGAGACTGCTGCCGCAAGGTCAGCGACCAGGAAGACCTCTGTCTCCGCCTTGCCAGCTCGCTACGGCCAGGTGTGGAGCTCGCCATGTGCAGCTCCTGGGCGAAGCCCGCCCACGCACATCTCGCGCCCGCCTACCTAGTTCACCGTGGTTGGGGCGGAACTCGCCCGTGTGCAGCCCACTATGGCCGGGATAGAACTCCACATACCAACGAGGATCCATTCTCCCAAGCAGCAAGGAGATATTACGCTGAAACTGCATGTTACAAGCGTCTGTTTCAAATGTTCAGAGGTATGTTACAAGTGTTTTATATCGATGTTGCAAAAGTAGATCGAGATATTGCACATGCTGCAATGGTGTTTTCAAGTGTATGTCCCAAATGTTTCTTCTGTTTCAGACGTATGTTGCAAGTGTTTCATCTGAATGTTGCAAAAGCAGATCTAGATGTTGCATATACATGCATGATGCAAGCGTATGTTTCAAGTGTTTCGGGTGTTTCATACATATGTTGCAAGTGTTTTATCTGGATGTTGCATATATTTTGCAATGGCTACAAACATGTTTTCCTAACGTTTCACACGTATGTTGCAAGTGTTTCAACTGTTTCAGACATATGTTGTAAAGTATTTCATCTGGATGTTGTAAAACTAGATCTGGTGTTGCATATGTTGCACTGCGACCCACTTCCGCAACCGCTTGCTGCAGCTGCCCATGTGCATGTGCGTGGGAGCGGAGGGGGCGTGAGCGGCAGGCACACGGGAAACGGTGTGAGCGTAGATCGAGACGCGGCTCTGCATGGGGGTGCGCAGGCATGGGAAAAGGAGCGGCGCGGGCCCCCACGTGAAGCAGGCGCAGCAGCATGGGACGCAGGCAGGCGCAGCAGACGTGGGCATCCGGACGCTAACCTGACCCTTATGTTTATGCTCTATTTTCTCAAAGTCCCTAGAGGGGTACTTAATTAAACTGAGTATTATAGATAATGGTTTTTCTAGCAATATGATCAATAGAAGAAGAATTATAGACTAGTGAAGACCATTATTTGCCAACCGAAAGAGCAGAAGTTTAGGTATTCCAAACCTTGATATAGAAAATAAATGTTTACTAAGTACAAGTGGTTGTTCAGTATTTTAAAAAATAAAACAATATCATAAACACAAAAAAAATTAAGACTCCGATTTTTGGATGAGTTTGATGGGATAAAGGATTCATTCTTAAGTTTAGGTATAAGTTTATCTCAAAAAAAAAGGTTTAGGTAAGTTTAGGCTAGGAGACCGGTAGAAATGTTTCCCAGGAAGTTTGGCGGTTAAAGATATCACTTAAAATTAAAAGATTGTTGTGGTTCCTATAAAGAATGGAGTTAATTTAACCGAAGACGACTTAGCAAGGAGTTGGAATAGGAGTAAATTGTGTGCTTTCTGTTGTAGGAATGAAATAATTTAACATCTCTTCTTCGATAGTTTTTATCGTGATTTTATCCGTACAGCAGCTTATTATATATTCTACGCATGAAACCCCAAAAAGATGTTTATGAGTGGTACAAATAAGGATGATTTTTTCAAATAAGTCTTTGTTTTCGATAGACACAATGGTGCAGCTATTTATTGGGCAATACGACTTAAAAAAATAAATTCATTTTGACAAGTGTCAATCCAAAATATTTTTGCAGGTTTTGTTCGGAGTGATGCATTGGCGACTACGCAAGTGGACACAGTTACAACGAGGTGAAATCGACAAGAAATGCATTCTCCATGACTATCAAGCGCAAGAAGCCACATGCATTCTTTTCGTCGTTTGGATGGCTTTATAACACTAGATTTGAGATTTGGGTAGAACTTGTTTATTATTTCACATGTTTGAAAATATTTTATCTGATTCTTTTGATCACGTGATGAATCCGGATTAGTTTCCATTATTACAAAAAGCATACGTGTGCTTGGATTGGTTAACAAAGTACAACTCGTGTGCAGCACGTTTGTTCCAGCACTCGATGGGACCTCCCGACTCCTGATCGAATCGAGCTACAGAAAAGCAAACGTTCCAATAAAAGTAAGTAGATGCTCTGATAAAAGAAAGAGCTGTAAAGGAGGAGATGCGCATGCTTGCAACAGACTATTGGCTTAATTGGTTAGGAGCGAAAGGCTTTCATTAGAGGTGTAATTTGGACTTTGGAGTACCAGCTAAGTATTCCTGTTTTTAGGTTAATTCAAACCATACTATTATTAATATCATGATTTTGGAATCTAGAATTACTATTCCCATATTTGTAACCATACCATTATAATTCACCATATATTTCAAACTTGCCATTTTATAGTCCGACTTCCCTTTGGGCACATTTAAAGCTCTAGATTGGTTTTGGTGAATTGATGAAACCCTAAGTGCTAACCAAGTTTATCAAAGTGTTCATGAGATAGGTAGCACATTCCAAGTGGTGAAACAAATGAAGATCATGACATGATGATGGTGATGCCATGGTGATGATCAAGTGCTTGGACTTGAAAAGAAGAAAGAGAAAAATAAAAGACTCAAGGCAAAGGTATAAGTGGTAGGAGCCATTTTGTTTCGGTGATCAAGACACTTAGCGAGTGTGATCACATTTAGGTTCGATAACCGTACTATTAAGAGGGGTGAAACTCGTATCGAAATACGGTTATCAAAGTGCCACTAGATGCTTTAACTCATTGCATATGTATTTTAAATCTAGTGGAGTGCTAACACCCTTGAAAATGTTTCTGAAAATATGCTAACACACAAACACAAAGGTGATACACATTGTGTTTAGCACTTCGAAGCAAGGGTTCGAAACTTCACCGGCGGAGTGTCACGTGGTGACCGGACTCGGGGGAGCAGCGTCCGGTCAATTATAAAAGAAGGTGGTACTCTCGGCCTGAGACCGGACGTAGGTGACCGGACTCTAGCTGAACACTGTTTAGCATCCGGTCATGCTGATGTGGGGGCTCACAGTGAAGAAGGTGAGTGATCGGACGCTTGGCGAGTCCGGTCGGGCGCGACCGGATGCGTCCGGACATGAGTGGAACCTTACTGGAAACGACCGAACTCCAGTGTTGAAGCGTCCGGTCACTTCGAGCAGCGCGTTCGGTCACAACTTAAGTGCGCTGATGACCATTGAGATCGGGCGATCAGTATTTGAAGTCGGGGACACATGGCAAAAACTTGAGGACCGGATGCTGGGGTCCTACGTCTGGTCAAACCAACCGGTGCGTCCGGTCGCCCTGACTTTTCAGAAAACAGAGAACCAACGGCTCTATTCGTGGGGGCTCCCAATTTAAGCCCCATTGTCGGCTCAAGCTCACTCTCTTGGCCATTTGCATTGACATAGCAACCTTGTGAGCTTAGCCAAAGCCCTCCAACTCATCTCCATTATTGATTCATCATCTTTGTCAGATTGGGAGTGAATACAAGTGCATTGCTTGAGTGTTTGCATCTAGAGGCACTTGGTGTTCGTGTTTCGCTGCGGGATTCGCTTGTTACTCTTGGTGGTTGTCGCCACCTAGATGGCTTGGAGCAGCAAGGATCGTCGAGCGGAGGTTGGTGATTATCTCCGGCTTCGATCGTGGTGATTGTGAGGGGTTCTTGACCTTTCCCCTGCGGAGAGCCAAAAGGTACTCTAGTAAATTACTCATAGCTTGTGTGATCCTCATCTTATGTTGGTTGTGCGGCACCCTATTGAGGGTTTGGCGTGTGATGCCAATTAGCGCGTGAACCTCCAAGTGAACCTCGGTAAAAAATCATTGTGTCATCATTTGATTCTGAGGTGATTGGTATTCATCCTTTGATTGATTGGTTCATTCCTCGACTCGGCG